GGGGAGAGAATGGTTTATATCCCTTTTATGTCTGCCCATCATTCCACTTGGTCCCATTTCTGTCTCTGGGCTATGTGTAAGTAAGTATTAGCTGAGTTACAATAGTAAAACTAATAAAACCAAGAAAGAAGGAGAAAAAAGAGAAAGAAAGTAAAAAAAGAGAAAAAAATAGTGAACCAAAGAAAACAATAGGGAGAGGTGGTGGATGATCAAACAGAGAAAAAGACAGCCAAACCCTTAAATAAAGTAAAAAAAAAAAATCACCAGTTCAGGAACGGTAGAATTATAGTCTTAGTTGTTCTAGTGTTACTCCTTTAGCATCCAGTCCTCTCTGGCTTTGTCTCCTAGGCAGGTTTGGAGCCAGCTTCTGGTGATGTTGGAGCCATCCTATGGCAGGCAAATGCCTGGCAGTCCAGCTGGCAGCAGTCTGGAGAGTCTATGGGTCTGCAGCCTGTTGGGGCAGAGGCCCAGCAAGCCTTCATGGTAAAGGCCTGGCAGACATGCGTGGCAGGGTCCTGGTGGAGCAGCAGCTTGACAGGCCTGAGGGGCAGCTGGGTGGGCCTGCGGGATGGAAGCCTGGTGGAATGGGGTTGATGGGCCTGTGGAGTAGGTGCCTGGTGGGCTCGAGTGGTGAGAGCCTGGCACAGCAGTGATCTGGCAGGCATGTAGAGTGGGGGCTTGGTGGGCTTCCAGAATGGGGGTCTAAGTAAGTTCTTGAAATACTGTTTACTGTTAATCATTAATTACAATAATTGTTTTAGCAGTTTCTTTTGCTTAGTCTTGTGGATTTTGTCACTACACCTTCACAAATTAGAATTTAGATTTTCATCTGTGGGAATTCTCTAATACTTTGTTACACAATCTCTAGCCACCTTGATGTTTCTGAAGTATGACATCTGTGTTTCCAAGTCTATGAAGTATATGTGCTATGTTTGGATTCACCGTTCCTATGCCCAATTTCAGACATTGTCACAAAACAGAGAGCCAGGGTCTCAGGGATCATAGTCCTTAGCTTCCTTTTAGCATCCAAAGCAATTTTTTTTTCATTTTGTTCAATTTTCTAGTGATTGACAGAGAGTAAGTTCTATCACAGTTAGTCCTCCATTTGTGGATGCCTCATTTTCTACATGTATGACATCATTGAAATCTAAGTCTGGTGGGAAACCTTTGATGCATTATTTTCATAATTACATCGTTACAGTCTAAGTTTACCCTTTAGATTTTTTAAAAACCCTTCTTTTTAACAATAAATATCTGATCTCATTGAAATTAAAAGAGATGATAATGATGTTTGTGGCCTAGTTTATTTGAAAGGCATTTTGGTTTTAGATAAATCTGAAAGTGTAGTCAACATAGATATACCTACGTGAAAACTGGATTTACACCCCTCAACTTTGAAAATGGTCTTTTAAATATTGTAATTATCTAAATACTGTTGTTTCAATCTTCCAAACTTTGAATAGTATTACTTCATATGCTATTTATGAGAAGTACAGTGGTTAGTAGACTATTTATGAGAATTAGGGTGCTTGATACATTAGCTGGAATAGAGTACTTAACAGGTGGCTGTGTTTATTGACAAAGACCTTGACCAATTTAATTTTATCTTATATCAGTATTTTCTATTCCTGTTGTAAACTGTTAAGAACCTTGACTGCATGAAACTGTGTAGTTAAAACATCATTGTTGAAATCCATGTAATTCTTTTTGACTTCAGCTTTATTTTATTTGTGCACTAGTGTTTCAGGTAGAATCAGAAAAACACAAAAGAAAAGTGTGAATTTGTTATGAGGTAGATTGTACCTTGGGGTTTCTCTGAATTAATATGATCGTGGAGATGTTACTTACCCATAATGGCACTAATGTCCATATTTGAACAAAATGTGTATTCTAACACATGTTTTCAGTGGTTAATATGAGAGTTTAATAAAAAAATTTTATATGAAGTTCATAGAAAGATCATGGCACATAGTCAGGAGCTAAATAATATGACTTTTTTTTCTCCCTTTTTCTTATAGAACCGATTATAAAGCTAATTATGATGCTATCATTCTATTTAATGTATTATTTTTACTATTACATATTAAATGAGATTAACAAGTCTCCTTTAAATACTTTTGTTACAGTTAGAATAAGAACTATAATTGGGTGTAAAATAGTGAGTGATTATGTGATCTATTAGTTTGAAGCATGTATTTTAGATAATTTTAGGTGCAATCAACTACAGAGATTTCAATCAGGCAGGTGGTTAATGACAGTGATAATTGGTGGTTCCAAATGGATGTCTGAGAAGAGAGGTGGCAATAGAGTCCAAAGAGTTTGGCTCCAGATGTATAACAAAGTAAGAGTCAGTGTCAGGATGAAATGAAATAATGATGAACAGTAGAATTTATCATTTATCATCATGACAGTAAATGTTAGGGGCTAGTGTGTTAAAATTCTGATGTAGAGAAAAGAAATTACAATTCTGGGCAAAGCCCCAGTTGTAAATGAAGGCAAAACACTTAAGTCTAACAAAAACAAAGATGTGGCATATTTAAAAGAATGTGGGTCTTAGGAATTCACTATCATTATAAGGGATAAGAAGAGTTTGATTACAAAAATTCTTATTTTTTATATCCTGTAATGTTAGGTTCTATAGGTAGAATAATAAACAGGATAGACAGTGTCCTGTCTGGGAAGTTGGTTACAGTGTGAGGGGGAGAATATAAGAAAAGGATGTGTGATGGTAATTATCATGAAAATATTATGTACTTATGTATGTAAATGGAAAAATGAGACCTGTTGAAACTATTCCAACAATTGGAAGAAGGGGAGATAAAGGAGAATGATAGAGGGGGTGAATTCAACTATGATACATTGTAAGAACTTTTGTAAATGTCACAATGTAACCCCAATACAACAAACTAAATAAATAAATACATAAATAAAATACAAAACCTGAATATTGGTGTGAATGTAGGAAAAAGCTACACTTGTACACTGCTTTGGGAAAGTCAGTACAGCAACCATGAAAAACAATATGGAAGTTTTGTAAACTGTTTAAAATAGAGATATGTTGTAGTCCCATACATAAAATTGAGCTCAAAGAACTTTTGTCTTTTTGTGACTAGCTTATTTCATTAATCATCCAGGTCACCCATATTTGTCATAAATGACAGAATTTCTCTTTTAAGGCTGAATAGCATTCCATTGTGTATATGTACACATTTTCTATCTTCATTCATCATTTGATGGATGTCTGGTTGTTACAATGTCTTGGTTTTTGTGAATAGTGCTGCAATAAACATGGGAGTGCAGATGTCTGTTAAAAATGTTTGGGAATTTGTGGAAAGAAAGTGAAAAGGTCATGCTTCAGGCTTTAATTGACATACCCTCAGCAACCTGACTTTACATTTAACTAGATGTGCCTCATGCTTGTTAAATGAGAGTTGATTGAAAGAATATGACATGGGAAAACAGGGGAGTTTGGTATAATCTTGAATTTGTATTTATGAGATTATTCTCTGCCCACTTGGAGCTTAGAGTCCATTGAGGTTAGGGAAATTTTAAAAAATACCATTTAAATTATCATAAATTACCAGAAGAGATACAATCCGAGAAGAGAGTCATTCTCTTCAACAGAGAAGAGAGGGGTTGATACAGAAAATAAATTGAGATGGAGTTTCCAAGATGAGTTTCCTGAGGAAATAATTTTAAGTACCTATGGCTTTGAGAGGTGCATTTTTCTAAGTAGATTCTGCCATATTTTTAATTTATTGTCCCGGAGTACACTAGTCATAGTAAATAAGCAAGTGACTTAGAGAAATCATTTATCTCAGCTTTCAATGGAAAAATAAGATTGTCAGACAAGTCCACTTAGGCTCAGATTCATAGGGCCCATGAATGATTGAGAATTTACTCAGAAAAGAAGGCCCAACCTATATTGTATACTCAATATGATAAATGTCATAATTTTAGAGCTATGAACCCTTCACCTAACTTCCTCATAATTGAAGTCCTGGACAACCTACAGCTTGGATGACCAGGAATTTGTGAATAAATAGACATGGCATGTGCTGAAATTTATCAAGAAGGAACCAGGACAAAACTTCTTAAGTTTTGTGTACAAGAGTATAGAATGCCATTACTATCTTACATGTCTCTGAGAAATTCCCCAAAATTAAATTTTATAGCCTTGATGTACAAATTTGATTAAATTAAAACATATATGCAGCTCCTTGGAGATTAATAGATGCAGACTATATAGAATAGTTGAAGTTTTCCTCAAACTATTTCACAAAAGGAAAAATAACAAAATCAGCAAGAATTTATTAGGGGTTATGAACTGTTGTAGACTCTGGAGATGTGGCAGTGAGCCATGTAAATGGAGATCTCAGTCCTGTGCAATTTGCATAAAATATAGAGAAGAATAAACTAGAAAAATAAGGGAAAAGTTGGTATATAGAAATGGGCAAAACCTCAAAAAATACATGTGCTGGTAATGCAGATTTCAAATTAATGATAGTATTCTAAAGAAACAAAAGAAATAAGACAGAGCAGCATGATATGTTGAAAAAAGGGCACAGAGGGGGTTTGTTCAAGAACAAAGTAGCAAAATAACCAGAAATTATAGTCACTATTTTGCTATGTTTTATACAGTTTCAAATAGATAGAAGAAAGGAAGTTGGTAATTAATTACTCTTGGAAGATTTTTGTTTCATTGTAGTTGACAAATGAGTTTTCTTTCATTTTAAGGAAGAGATGTAAGCTGATGGTATTGGCATTAATGACAACATAGATCCACCTCATCCTTTAGCATTTCTTTTTATTATTATCTCTTTGATATATATGAAACAAATATGCAAAGAAAATGGCATCAAAAGACTATAGCAATAAAAATATTCAAAAATCCTAGCAAATGACTAAAAATATTTACAAATAGATTAAATGAATAACATCAATTCCCACCATATTGGTCAATGACTTCAGTCTACTAAATCATCTTTTCATTATGCTGTTTACAGAAATGTTTTTCTCTTTAGCAGTTTCTTTAGAGCATGATTGACATTCTTATTCCTCAGGCTGTAGATAAGGGGTTTAGCATGGGCACAATAATGGTGTAAAACATAGAGGACACTTTCCCTTGGTTCATGGAGCTGACTGAGGATGGCTGCAAATACGTGAATGTGGCAGAGCCAAAGACAGAAACAGCAGAGATGTGGGAGCTGCAGGTGCTGAAGGCTTTGGACCTGCCTTCAGTGGAGTGAATGCGGAGGATGCTGTCAATGATGAAGATGTAAGATCCAAGGATGGTCAGACTTGGGACAAAGATGTTAAATGTACCAAAGCATAGAACCAACAATTCATTGATGTAAGTGCTAGAACAGGATAACTTCAGAAGGGGAGGGAGATCACAAAAATAGTGGTTGATCACATCATTGCAGAAATGAATCTTAATTAAGCAGCCAGTATGAACTGATGCACAAACCACACCTACTATATACACCCCTAAAATCAGAGAAAAGCAGGTTTCATGAGACATAGCTATATTATAAAGCAAGGGGCTACAGATGGCAACATAGCGATCATAGGCCATTGCAGCCAACATGTGACATTCTGAAATAGCAAAATTGAGGAAAAAGTAGAGCTGAGTCAAGCATTCAGGGTAGGAGATGGTGTTCTTCTCTGTCACAAAGTTCACCAGCATTTTGGGGATAATGACAGTGGAATGGCAGAGATCAATGAAGGAGAGACTGGTGAGGAAATAGTACATGGGGGTGTGCAGGTGAGAACTGAGAAGGATAAGGGTGATCATGCCCAGATTCCCCACCACTGTGACCACATAGATTCCTAGAAAAAGAAAGAAGAAGGGCAGCTGGAGTTCTGACTTCTGTGAAAGCCCAGTCAAGATGAACTCAGTCACTGTGGAGTGATTTTCTGGAGCCATGTCCTCTGTTCAGATTCTGCAGGGGGAGAGAACATGATTGTTGGATAGATGTAATTAAGCTGTCTTTTGAAAGTAGTTGCCCCCTTTCTGTACAATCATTTCACTCTGGGTAAATTTACGTAGGTAAAATTTTAATGTCTATTAAAACTTCTTCACAAATATACAAATATTTTATATAAAATTAACTATCTTTATAGTAATTGAAAACCATTAATGTGTCTGTTTTCTAATGGAATTATTTCAATAATTTCAAGTCATTACTTCTAAGATGATACTTTTAAATTCTTAGAAAGGTCAACATACATAACTAAAACTGGCTCAGTGATACTTCAAAGAAAGCAAGCCTCTTCTAAAGAAAGTGAGTTCAATAAGATAAGTGTAATTTCTGCTAGGGGAGAACAGAGATATTATTATGTTTTTATTTACATTTAGAAATAAGAATATCTCTATAAAATCTTCAGTTTATTGCTTATTATTATTAAAATGAAGCAACATTTACAATGACTACTCTGTATAGCACCAGTTGAAGGGGCCCACAGTTAGATGGTGGTTGTTCTAAAAACAAGGACCTTTGCCTTCATGCAGGAAGCAGAATGAATACTGTTAAATGTCCATCCTCAAAGGCAAAATGCCTATGCTGACTCCATCACTTGTTAGCTATCAAGTAAAATCACCTATTTGCATCATATCTTTCAAACCTGTAAAACAGGACAGTATTATGTACCTTCTAATAAAATGGGCAAAAACTTATCAACTTATCAACCAGGAAGTGAGGATGACCACTTTGTGAATTATTCATGCTAATATGCTAATATCTGTTACTATTCTACTAGTTGGAAAATAAGTGATAACTACTGACTTCAAATTATGGGAAAAACTAACTAGTATCTTCCTGTTTCATTTCTTTTTCTTCAACTTCTGTAAATCACAAAGGAATATTGAAGGGGGCGTTGTTTCTCTCCCTCCCTCCCTTGCTGGAGGAAGGTTTTCTCTCTAGGTTCTTGGTTATTATTGGACCTAACTGGGCTTAACTGGGAGCAACTAGAGATTTTAGAGAAGATATAGGACAGACAGACAGTCAGACAGAAAGAAAGAAATTTGGAGTCAGGTGTGTTGTACGCTCGGCTGGAGACCACAATGCTCATTGCTTCTTTTTCTCTATCTTGATTCTTTTTTTTTCTTTTATTATTCATATGTGCATACAAGGCTTGGTTCATTTCACCCCCCCTGCCCCCACCCCCTCCCTTACCACCCACTCCACCCTCTCCCTCTCCCCCCCACCCCCTCAATACCCAGCAGAAACTATTTTGCCCTTATTTCTAATTTTTTTGTAGAGAGAGTATAAGCAATAACAGGAAGGGACAAGGGTTTTTGCTGGTTGGGATCAGGATAGCTATACAGGGTATTGACTCACATTGATTTCCTTTGCGTGGGTATTACCTTCTAGGTTAATTCTTTTTGATCAAACCTTTTCTCTAGTACCTGTTCCCCTTTTCCTATTGGCCTCAGTTGCATTTAAGGTATCCGCTTTAGTTTCTCTGTGTTAAGGGCAACAAATGCTAGCTAGTTTTTTAGGTGTCTTACCTATCCTCACCCCTCCCTTGTGTGCTCTCGCTTTTATCATGTGCTCATAGTCTAATCCCATTGCTGTGTTTGCCCTTGATCTAATGTCCACATATGAGGGAGAACATATGATTTTTGTCTTTTGGGCCAGGCTAACCTCACTCAGAATGATGTTCTCCATTCCATCCATTTACCAGTGAACGATAACATTTCGTTCTTCTTCATGGCTGCATAAAATTCCATTGTGTATAGATACCACATTTTCTTAATCCATTCGTCAGTGCTGGGGCATCTTGGCTGTTTCCATAACTTGGCTATTGTCAATAGTGCCGCAATAAACATGGGTGTGCAGGTGCCTCTGGAGTAATCTGTGTCACAGTCTTTTGGGTATATCCCCAAGAGTGGTATTGCTGGATCAAATGGTAGATCGATGACTAGCTTTTTAAGTAGCCTCCAAATTTTTTCCAGAGTGGTTGTACTAGTTTACATCCCCACCAACAGTGTAAGAGGGTTCCTTTTTCCCCGCATCCTTGCCAACACCTGTTGGTGGTGGTGTTGCTGATGATGGCTATTCTAACAGGGGTGAGGTGGAATCTTAGTGTGGTTTTAATTTGCATTTCCTTTATTGCTAGAGATGGTGAGCATTTTTTCATGTGTTTTTTGGCCATTTGAATTTCTTCTTTTGAGAAAGTTCTGTTTAGTTCACGTGCCCATTTCTTTATTGGTTCATTAGTTTGGGGAGAATTTAGTTTTTTGAGTTCCCTATATATTCTGGTTATCAGTCCTTTGTCTGATGTATAGCTGGCAAATACTTTCTCCCACTCTGTGGGTGTTCTCTTCAGTTTAGAGACCATTTCTTTTGATGAACAGAAGCTTTTTAGTTTTATGAAGTCCCATTTACCTATACTATCTCTTAGTTACTGTGCTTCTGGGATTCCATTGAGAAAGTTCTTGCCTATACCTACTAACTCCAGAGTATTTCCTACTCTTTCCTGTATCAACTTTAGAGTTTGTGATCTGATATTAAGATCCTTGATCCATTTTGAGTTAATATTGGTATAGGGTGATATACATAAATTCTCAGTGCAGACTTTCTATCAACCCCTCTTTAGCATTTTTTTCCTTTTCCCTTCAATAATTCTTTTCACTTTCAAAAGCTTCCCACACCAAAAAGCCCAAAGTAAAGCCCCAAAAGGCAAAAGCAAAAATCAAAAGCCCCTCTTCCTCCTTCAGGGGTCTTTTATAGCAGCAAACAGGGTGGAGCCACGGGGAGGGGCGTGACATTGCAACAGAAGAAACCTGTGTTCCTGCATCTCTGAAGGCAACTTAGGAGAGGCAGCTATTCTGCCTTTCTTGTTTTGTGGCTGAGGACTGCGCCTACCTCTGCCTACAGGTAAAAGCAATTAAGTGTGTCTCTGCCTTGCTTGTGTTCAGTTTTCATAGGTTTTAATCTGCTCCCCACAAAATATAAGGCACAATTAGGAAACACAACAATAAAAATTTAGTCCACACTTCTGTTGGACAATGAGAAGATTTAACTATTGTATACACTAATGTAAAAGTAAAACAAATTTGATTAAAATTATAAAACTATCAAATATGGGAATCTAAAAATCACTAAAGTTTTAGACCAAAATAAATATGAAATGAATTAAATATGAGCATAAAAGATAAATGATAACCTATCTAGGAAAACCATTGAACAAACTTCTTGAGACCTTGGAATAGTTGAACATTTCTGAGAAAGGACATGCATGCATTTAAAAAGTAACAACAAAACAATAAACAAAACCATTCTAAATAATGGCTGCATTATATTTGATCACAAAATTCAAAGTAAAATTTAAGATTTTGTTAGAAAATAAAAAGGCAAACACAGGGATTTTATCTAAAATATGTAAAGAATATATACTATGTTTACTAGAAGACAACCAACTTAAAAATAAAGGAAATTTCCTATCAGATACCTTACACAGAAAGATAGATGACTGATTAATACATGTATGTATGAAGTATTTCCAGTGCCCTTTGTCACCAAGGAATGAAAATTAACACCATAATGAAATACCACATCAGTATTAGAATGGAAATGAAAAATATTAAAACAAAAACACCTGGAGAGCAAAGGAAAATTGAAAGCAAGGTTGTGAGAAGCAATTGTGTTGGTCAAATAAAGCCACTGTGAAGTTTAAAATCAGTCAATTTGTAATTGGCAAATTACATGGAAATGCCTTGTAAATTTAACAGAAATTTACTGTATATTATAAAAATTCCATTTCATATCATTTACTAAAGAAACATGTAAACAATTGTGTATTCAAAGATGGTACAAAAATGTTCTTGGCAGCTTTATTTATATAAACCAAAAATTAAAAACAATGCAAATATTCATTAAGGATGAATTGATGAATGAGTTGTAGCATCTATCTATCTATCTACCAATATCTATCATCACCTATCTATCTATCCATCTATCAGCTATTTTTCTCTCTCTGGATAATGGGTTATATTACAGTGCTTTTAAGAAGGAATAAATTGTAAATACATAAAGAATCTTGAAACATTGGTTATTTTTAGGACAGATTTCATAATCGAGAATACAAATTTATGGAAATATTAACCAGTCTTGTGCTATACACCTGTAGTTCTCTTTTTTTAGAATTATTTGTAATGGATTATGTTTCTTTAATGGATATCACTTATTTGGATTTTATCTTTCTACTCAGCTTTCCTAATTTAAAATTTGACTGTAATTGCTTACTTTTCAAATGATCAAATGCATTTCATTAAGATTTACTTGTTTTTTGACTAAAAATAATTCATAGTATGTGTGATGATTTCTGTTTCTTCTTTCCTGAAACAATTAAATGAAAGATTCTCTGTATGTCTCAATCCATGTGTCAATTTTATTAATCATTTTAAATTAACTAAATTTCAGCAATGTTAATTTTGAGGTATATGTTCATATATATTTAAATTATTTATAAATGCTTAATTATTTTATTCTCAATTTTTTGATTTCCTATGTTCTTGATGGTCAAGCTTGCATCAATATTTCAAATTTATTCTTTGCTGATTTACATATGAATTATAAATAGCCCTCCAATAGACATTTTAGCATCTCACAAGTTTTAACCTATAAAACTTACAATCTTATTCAATTTAAAATGCTCCATTTCATGCATTCATTTTCTGAAGAAATACATAGAAGTGATTTTTAATTTTTTGGCTTTTACTCTCTATTCCTTTTGTAAAATGTTTCTCTTAATTTCATTGTGGTCAATGGACACACTCTAAATTATATAAATTATTGAACATTTCTGAGATTTTCTTTGAAATTCAGCATACAGTCAGTTTTTAGAAACATGCCCAATGAATCTTAAAACAATATGTCATCTTATTTTGAGGTCATCACATTGTAAATACCTTTAAGTTAT